ACAACAAGAACCTGACGGTGGCGGCGATGGCTCAGGAAAAGCAGAACAAGTCTGCGGTGATTGAGGCGAACTCTCGGCGCAGATCTAATGTCGTGAAAGAAGTGGACAAAATCAAGAAGCAAAGGGAAGAACGGAGGGCACGACAGGCGGAACAGAAGGCCGAGAAGATAGAGCTGATGAATGCCGTGGAACCGGGCTCTCAGAACCAGTGGGAGTTCCTGTCGATGATCCGTGAATATAGGGCTCAACTCGAGTACAAACCGATAACAATGAATGATTCGGTGGACTTCCACCAGATCTGTGTGGCCGTCCGCAAGAGACCGCTCAACAAGAAGGAGGCGCAGAGGAAGGACATCGATGTGGTGACGATTCCCAACAAAGACCTCATTATAGTCCACGAGCCCAAGCAGAAGGTCGATCTGACCCGTTATCTCGAGAATCAAATGTTTCGTTTCGATTACGCCTTCGACGAGAGCGCTGACAACGAACTCGTCTATAAATATACCGCAAAGCCTTTGGTTCAGACCATTTTTGATGGAGGAATGGCTACTTGTTTTGCTTACGGCCAGACCGGCAGTGGAAAGACGCATACAATGGGCGGTGACTTTCACGGCAAGTCTCAGGACTCGGCGAAAGGCATCTACGCTTTGGCCGCGAGGGATGTCTTTAAACTATTGCGGTCTTCAAAGTATAAATCAGAGGATCAAACAGTTTTCGCCAGTTTTTTCGAGATATACAGTGGAAAGGTATGTGGAAAGGGTTGACGGGTTGGACACTGAATGTGAATAACTAACTTTTAATGATTGGATGGACAGGTGTTTGATCTGTTGAACGGAAAGGCAAAGTTAAGAGTATTAGAAGACGCCAAACAACAGGTCCAAGTGGTTGGCCTCATAGAAAGACGAGTTGATAGTGTAGAAGACGTTCTGAAACTAATCCAAATGGGGAACAACATCAGGACATCGGGTGTCACGTCTGCCAACAACCATTCGTCTCGTTCTCACGCAGTCTTTCAATTGATTCTGAAGAGACAGACGGGAAAAATGAAGGGAAAGTTCTCTCTAATTGATTTGGCCGGTAATGAGAGGGGAGCCGACACTTCAAGTGCTAATCGACAGACTCGTATGGAAGGCGCAGAGATTAACAAGTCTTTACTGGCGCTAAAGGAGTGCATCCGTGCTTTGGGTCGAAAAGGCGCTCATTTGCCGTTCAGAGCGAGTAAATTGACTCAAGTATTGCGCGATTCGTTCATTGGGGAGAACTCGAGGACTTGCATGGTTTGGATGACACCTCTGTTTGCCTTCACATTCAATGACTCATTAATTGTGACTTTTGTATCACAGATAGCGATGATATCTCCCGGCGTTCTTTCGTGCGAACACTCATTAAATACTCTACGATATGCTGATCGCGTCAAAGAGCTCGGAGCTGATAATCCAGATCTTAAGACCAGTGATGGCGATGAAGACATGTCTGCGAGCGGCGATGATTTAGCCATTCTTCACAACTCTAATGTAAGC